TCCGGGACCATGACCTGAGCTGAAGGCAGTCGCTTAACCAACTGAGCCACCCAGGCGCCCAAGTTCAGAGATTTTTGACAAATGTATATAGTCATGTAACTACCACCACAACTGAGAAATGAAAGACTTCCATCACCCCTGTAAATTCCCCTGTGCCCCTTTGTGGTGAACCTCTTCCTCAATTCCAGTCTCTGGCAACCCCTGATCTGTTTTCTGTCCCTTGTAGTTTTGCCTTTTCTATAATGTCCTATAAATGGAATCGTACAATAGGTAGCCTTTCAAGTCTGGCTTCTTTCGCTTAGCTTAATGTATTTGGGATTCATCCATGTACTTATTATTATTATTATTTTAAAAAAGATTTTATTTATTTATTTGACAGAGAGAGAGACACAGTGAGAGAGGGAACACAAGCAGGGGGAGTGGGAGAGGGAGAAGCAGGCTTCCCGCCGAGCAGGGAGCCCGATGCGGGGCTCGATCCCAGGACCTGAAATCATGACCTAAGCCGAAGGCAGACGCTTAACGACTGAGCCACCCAGGCGCCCCTGTACTTATTATTTTTTATTGTTGAGTAATATTTCATTGTATGGATACATCAGAGTTTGTCCATTTCTTAGTGGAGGGCCATTTGGGTTGTTTCTAATTTTTTTTTAAAGATTTTATTTATTTATTTGAGAGAGAGCGAGAGGGCGCACAAGCAGGGAGAGGGGCAGAGGGGAAGGGAGAAAGAAAATCCCAAGCAGACTCCCGTTTGAGCAGGGGACCCCATGCGGGGCTCAATCCTAGGACTCCAGGATCATGACCTGAGCAGAAGGCAATCGCTTAACCAACTGAGCCACCCAGGCGTCCCCCCCTCCTTGTGGTTTTAATTTCTGATTCTCTAATAACTAATGATTCTGAGTATATTTTCAAATGTTTATTGGCCATTTGCGTATCTTCTTCAAAACTTCTCAGCTTTTGAAAAAACTGGGTGGTTTATTTTCTCACTACCGCGTTTTGAGAGTTCTTTATATATTCTGGATATATGTCCTTTATCAGATAAGTGATTTGAAAATATTTTCTCCCATTCAGTGGCTTGCCTTTTCATTCTGGTAAAATGCGTTTTTTTCAAAGAGCAGGAATTCTTAATTTTGCAGTCACTTCTTGCTTTGTTTTAAGCACGATGTTTTTCTATTTGTTCAATTGGTATATACAAGGCAATGGAGTTTCCCGTAGAGGCAGAACTAAGCAAGTGGGACACCATTGTTTCCCCATGTATCCAAACTCTGCAGGTCAAGGGACATTTTGGGGAAGGCGGCCGGGCAACCCAGATTTCCTTAGTATGTGATCATCAGACCATCGCATGGCACCAGCTAGAAGCTTGTTTGTGACCTCTGCGTTGTAATGGGATGCCCGGGTCCTTAGTACACACTAGAGTTTGAAGAATAACCAACAGTGACTTTCACAGACGCAAAAGGGAAGCCATCTTGCAGCTCCTGGGCTCTGGGTGTTGACATATTCTGGCAACATCAGGGGCCCCGAAGCTCACTACAAAGGAGATGCGCACTGGTGTGTGTGTGTCCGGGTGAGCCCGCCTGGGGTAGGGCTGTTTCTGGTTGTTGTACAGGCAGCAAAGCAAGTCCCTGTGGACCATTGAGGAGTGACAAATAAGCCTATGTTGAGTCTGAGTCCACATTCTCCAGGTCAGCCCTACCCTTGGTCACTGAGAGGCTATTGTCCCATAATGGATGTCCACGGGCCCACGCCGTCAGGTGGGACAGGAAGCACTTTCCTTTTTGGAAAGCTCCCAGCCTTGCACTCCATTCTGGCTTCCACTCTGTCCACGTGCCGGCAAGTTATCCCTATTTTTATTTTTTATTTTATTTTTTTAAGTAATCTCTATGCCCAGGGCACCTGGGTGGCTCAATCAGCTAACTGTCTGCCTTGGGCTCAGGTAGTGATCCCAGGGTCCTGGGATCGAGCCTCGCGTTGGGCTCCCTGCTCAATGGGGAGCTTGCTTCTCCCTCTGCCTCTGCCTTCCCCCCACTCCCCGGTCTCTCATGAATAAATAAAATCTTAAAATAAGTAACCTCTATACCCAATGTGGGGCTCAAACTCACAACCCCGAGATCAAGAGTCGAGAACTCCCCTGACTGAGACAGCCAGGTGCCCCCACATTATCATTTTTTTTTGACTGCTCGGCTTCCTTTCTTTTGGGGAACTGTCCCTCTCCAAGTCCGTGTGGCTCTGGTGGGCTCTCCGTCAGGGCATCCACCTTCCCACCTCAGAGGTGGATAGGTGACCCAGTTGAGGCCAGGCAGACTCTGAAATTTGGAATCCCAATTGGGAATAGACAAGGATGGAGGAGGTTGGTGGGGTACAATGTGGGGAAGCAGTGAGCAGGGGGGCCAGTTCCTGCACAGGATTCCCCCGTGCTCCCCTGGCTCCTGAACTGGACGTTTGGCTTCCTGTCTGAGTCTGCGTTCACTCACTATTGCCCCAAGACGTTCCTTTTTGCCTAACTTCGTCAGTCTGGGTCGGTGCTTGCAACCAGAGAACTTCCACTGATAGGCAATCATGTTGTTGGCCAGGACTGCGCCTAGACTGTAACGCTCCCTGGTGCCTCCGACCTTGTGGTTAAAAGGCAGCCCCTCTGAATAGATGTTGGGGTGGTTGTCTTGGGGGGCGGTTGCACCTTTACGAGATATCGAACAAAGCGCCTCTTCCTCCCGGTCAATGGAGACCACTTAGAGGGGTGTCCCTTATTGAGCAGAATGCAGACTGAACCTCAGTTCTCGCTCACTCACCCCACCCCCCAGCTGTGGGCTCTTGTGCAGTGCACATCCTGCACAGCCTTCTGCGGAGACCCTGTTGTCAGGTCCCACCCCACCCTTCCTTCAGCTCTCTTCTCCTCCTTCCACCTGCCCGTTTACCTCTTCTAAACGTTTACTTGGACGGCATATAGGCTGATAACAGCTATGTTTACTTTTGTAGCCATAGTTAAGTCTTCCGTGCTTTGTCCATCTGTTGACTCTAAAAGTTGAAACTCAAGCAACAGTGTTTACCTTATATATTGTGACTACATAAATAGCTTTCATTGCAGACCTAGGAATCACTAAGATTGCATTTCCTTTCTTAGACTATTTTTGATTACCTTTTGAAAAACAATATCTGATACATTCACGGGATCATATGAATTTTTTTTAAGATTTTATTTATTTATTTGACAGACAGAGATAGTGAAAGAGGGAACACAAGCAGGGGGAGCAGGAGAGGGAGAAGCAGGCCTTCCGCCAAGCAGGGAGCCCGATGTGGGGCTCGATCCCAGGACCCTGGGATCACGACCTGAGCCGAAGGCAGACGCTTAACGACTGAGCCACCCAGGTGCCCCTTCACAGGATCCTGTGAATTATATGTTAGTTATAAGTGATCATTATATAATGAATACCTGTGCACCTATCCTAATTCAGGAACCAATAACCTATTACCAATAACATGTATGTACAGTGCAGTCCTCCCAGTCCCATTCCCCTGCCTCCCCTGGGAAATAAAATAACCACTATTCTATATTCTGCATTTATCATTCCACTGACTTTTATTGTTGTTTAAATTTTTATTTAAGTAACCTCCACACCCAACATGGGGCTCAAACTCACGACCCCAAGATCAAGAGTTGCACGCTTCTCTGACTGAGCCAGCTGGGCGCCCCTCTGCTGATTTTTAAAACTTACCATGCCATCATAGTATTATGTGTGCTTAAACAATAGTTTGTTTAGCTGTGCTTGTTTACGAGCTCTATAAAAATGGTATCATGTTTATAGCGTAGTCTTCTGGGAGTTACTGATTTTCAGGAAACATTATATTTCCAAGATTCTCTCATGTTGTTTTGTGTTACCGTTAGAACTGCTTGTTAGGATGAGAAACTCCTAGAAATTCCAGGAAAACGAAAACAGATCCAAGGAAGGAAATAAAATCCTGATGATCACCAGCTCTGCTCAGCCTCCTGACCCGGTTGCCCCTGACCATGGCCAAGGGTTCTAAGGATGGCCCTTGTCCCTGGCAGGGCCAGACCATGTGCGGACTTGGGACTGAGAGGTCTCCACTCTGGTGACCAAAAGAGTAAGACAGACAACTTGAGGTGTGAAGGTCACGTCTCTCACCACATGGACCAGAGGAGAAGAGGAGGTCGGTCTGGGGAGGAGGAGAAGGACGCTCAGGGACGAGTGGGAACAGAGCCAGGCTGTGTCTCCAAAATTCCTATGTTGGCAAGCTAACCCCAAGGTGATGCTTTTAGGAAGTAGGGCCTTTGGGGGGGGAATAGGTGATTAGGGGCCTTTGGGAAGCTCTGTCCTCACGAATGGGGTCAGTGTCTTTTTTCTTTTTTAAAGATTTTATTTATTTATATCAGAGAGAGAGCGAGAGAGGGAACACAAGCAGAGGGAGTGGGAGAGGGAGAAGCAGGCTTCCCGCTGAGCAGGGAGCCCGATGCGGGGCTCGATCCCAAGACCCTGAGATCATGACCTGAGCTGAAGGCAGACGTTTAACCGACTGAGCCACCCCGGTGCCCCGAAAGCCTGTGTCCTTAACCACACATATCACCGCCTCCACAGAGTAAACCAACTCTGGTGGGATTCAAACTCACATCCCAAATCCGAAAGGCTTTTTCCTCGGGAGAATTCCCAGGGTCTCTCTTCTCCCAGGAGCCACTATGATCAGGCTGCCCCAGGTGACTCAGATCTACTTTCCTGTAACTTAAAAGGGAGGTTAGAAAAAAAAACAACCTTCAGCTTGTGGGGCGCCCGGCTGGCTCAGTCGGTAGAGCACATGACTCTTGATCTCGGCACTGTGGGTTCAAGCCCCACGTTGGGTGTAGAGATTACTCAAAAAAATAAAATCTTGGGCGCCTGGGTGGCTCAGATGGTTAAGCGTCTGCCTTCGGCTCAGGTCATGATCTCAGGGTCCTGGGATCGAGTCCTGCATCGGGCTCCCTGCTCCTTGGGAGCCTGCTTCTCCCTCTGCCTCTCTCTCTCTCTGTCTCTCATGAATAAATAAATAAAAATCTTAAAATAAAATAAAATAAAATCTTAAAAAAAGGAAAGATTTCGGGTTGGGTGACACCCCCCCACCCGCTCCTTATCCTATGTGCTTCCCCTTCCGGTGCTGAGGGGAAAAAGAAGGGAAGAAGGTACAGAGAAGAGGGAAGGGAATGGCAACTGTCCACCAGAAGTGAGTGGAGGTGGGAGGGAGGGGAAGGGGTAGGGGAAGCCGTGAGAAGAAGACATTGCCAAAGAACAACGGAGGGAGGCTGTTTCCCTGAGGACAAGCATCTCCTCCCTCCTGCTCCGTCTGTCAGCATTTGGGGGTAAGGTCAGGGGAGAGGACTTAGGAAGAGAAGGGGACACCCTCAGAAACCACAGCTCTTAGGAGTGGGGCTGCCGCGGTGGGCCCCTCCCCCACTTGATGACCCCCACCCCCACCCTTCAGGAATATTCCGTGGCGGTTAGGGGCCCTGTCCTACTGGATGGGTTGTTCTTTCCCAGACCCCAGGCCCTGTGGCGCCAGGTGCTCTGCTGGATAGAAATATTTAGAAGATGAGGGACGACTGAGCCCAGCAAGAGAAGGGGGAGATGGGGTGGAGGGGACAGGGGGAGACAGGGGCTGCTCAAGATGGGGGCAGGGGACTTTAGGGATGAGTTCCCGGGGTCAGGAGGAGAAAGGGATGAGCACCAGACACTTGGAAAGGAAGTCAGATGCTGAGAAGCAGGATGGGGCAGAGGGAAGTCTGGCTCAAGAAGAGCGGGTAAAGAACTCCCTCTCTGAGCCCAGAAGTAGCAGTCAGGGGCTCAGGGATTACAGCTCAGAGCCCCGGAGGATCTCCGTGTTGCCCCTGTGGTGGAGAATTACACACAGCTCCCGCTGGATAGCGCAGGTCCTGGCCTCAGAGCTCAGCCTGGTCGCCTTCGCCCTGATGCTGGTCATGGTCTTCTCCAAGAAATGGCTGTGCCCCTCTCAAAGCCGCTTCTACCAGCGCTGGCCCACCAACGTCAGCGCCAGAATCTACACGGCCACTCACGTCATGTCCATGGGGCCCCTGCGGATCTGCAAATCCAAGAGCTGTTCCAACTCAGAAAATTGGAATGGTGAGACCCTCCCCGCCCCCACCGCACCCCAGGGCTCCAGTCTGCCTTGGTCACTCCGGGTCACCCCGTGCCCTTGTCCCCTCCTTTGGGTCATCCCTAGTGATCTGGCCCGCAAGAGGGCTTCACTGGAGGAGACCACCGAGGACGGGTCTTCCTGCCCCCATCCATTCTGTCCAAACCGCTTTGCCTGACTCAGATCATTGCTTCTGCGAAGACTCAGAGCCTGGTCTGTGGCTGTAACAGGGCTGTGAGGGGCATGGACTCTCAGTGCTGGTGAATCACTCCTTAATCACACAACTGCCCCTGTTCTATGGGGAGAAGAGCCCCAGCGAGGTGGGGATTGTCTTCCTCTAGCCTTGTGTACCCTGAGCTTCCAGTTTCGGGAGGAGCCCCCTGGTCGCTCTCCCTCCCCAGCCCTGGTCCCAGCCCCTTCTCCTCCCTTCTGCCTCAGGCCTTGCTCTTCTGGGCCAGCTCTGGGTTTCCACGTCTGGTTTCCTCGTTCCTTCTTTCCCAGGCTCTCGTGGCCCTTCACGGCCAGTTCCTGAACTCAGTACTCCATGCTCTCCCGCACCTCCCAGCTTCGGGCCTCCTTGCTCAGCTCTTGTGCGAAACCAGAACTTTCTATCTCCGTGATCCCCGTTCCGTGACTTCACTCTCGTTAACAGTAAAAAGATAATAATAAAAATAAAAGTTACGCGGCTCTTAGTTTCTTCCATTATGAGAGAAATGCATCTTTCTCGCAATAAATTTGGGGAAACAAAAAGCTACCATTTATTGCATACGTATTCCATTTGCTCGATAGATCCTCAACCAACCCTAAGGAATAGGGATGATCATCCTTCCTGTACGGATGAGAACACCGAGACTCAGATAAAGTACCTTGCTGAGGGTCAATATTTGACTGTTTTTCCCCTACAAAGAGAGCAGGTTTAGAATTCTAATTCGGGCGTGTCTGGCCCCAAGACTCTCGGAGGCACCTGCCTTGCTCTAACCGAGCTCCTCAAAGACCAGCCCCAAGCACTCAAGTTTCTGCTAGGCTTTAAAAAAAATTTTTTTTGAACAAGTTTTGAACGGTTTTTACACAGCTGTACTCATTCTTCATAAATAACCTTATATCTTTTACATTATTTTAAGTATTCAATTTATATTGTTTAAAAATTTATCTTTGGGGTGCCAGGCTGGCTTAGTCCGCAGAGGGTGTGACTCTTGATCTCGGGGTTGTGAGTTTGAGCCCCATGCTGGTTGTAGAGATTATTTAAAAATAATTTAGGGGTGCCTGGGTGGCTCAGCCGGTTAAGGGTTTGCCTTCGGCTCGGGTCATGTTCCCAGGGTCCTGGGATGGAGCCCCACGAGCCCCACGCTGGGCTCGCTGCTCAGCGGGGAGCCTGCTTCTCCCTCTCCCTCTGCTCCTCTCCCCACTCATGTTCTCTCTCTTGCTCACTCTCTCAAATAAATAAATAAATAAAATCTTTTAAAAAAATAATTTAAAAATCTGTACGGAAATTTATTTTTATGAGATGCAGTAAATGTTTCCCTATTATAAGTTAATAGACATATATATCAACTAAATAGATTGTCATCTTTTACTTGAATTTTATTTTTCTATTCTTGGTAAAATTTATTTTTCAATGTCATATTTGCAAAAAAAAGGAGCAACAAAATTTGTTAATGACTTTTTTTTTTTTCTGTGTTTAGTGTTAATTCTTTGGTATCGATTTCCCAAAGTGGCTTTACCGGATGGAAGAGTTAAATATTTTAAGGTTCTTCATAAAATGTTCCATGTTGCTCCCAAAAAGTGTGATAGCAATTTACCTTTCCACTAACAATGCACAAGAAGGCTGGTTTTATTGTATCTTTGTTGGCAATGACTGTTAATTCTAAATATATAAATAGATAATTTTTTTCTGATAAGAAAAAGTTAGTTGCACAGTTAGTTATTGTGGGAAATGCAGAACGTTTAAGAAAGAAAATAAAACTGACCTAAAATTTGCTCATATAGATATAATCACAGTTGGCATTGCCAGTGCATTTACTTCCAGTCTCTTGTGTGTGAATGTGTGTGTATGAGATATCTATAAATACAAATACACATATACAAATAAACATATATTTATTTGTATCTTGATAAATGTATATATTTATATTTTCAAAACCGCAATTCTCCATGCTCTGGGTTGCAAACTCCCCTTTGCAGTTCTAGGTATTTATTCCTGTCATTAATATTTCTATAGCATCACAAGTATTTAAGATTTATTTGATTAGGTAGTATGTGAATGGAGTGGAAATGGAAGCAAAATGAAAGACGACACAGGGGGCGCCTGGGTGGCTCAGTCGTTAAGCATCTGCCTTTGGCTCAGATCAGGATCCCAGGCTCTGTGGGAAGCCTGCCTCTCCCTCTCCCACTCCCCCTACTTGTGTTCCCTCTCTCCCTGTGTCTCTCTTTGTCAAAAAAAAAAAAAAAAAAAAGATGACACAGCAAAGGGAGCCCCCCCACCGCTGGCCTCTAATCCCCACTCCTGGTTCCTCGTTTCTTTCGAGACATCTTCTGTTTGGAGACAAACATCTATCATATCATTTTTAAAAAAGATTTATTTAGGGGTGCCTGGTGGCTCAGTTGTTAAGCATCTGCCTTTGGCTCAGGTAATGATCCCGGGGTCCTGCGATCAAGCCCCACATGGGGCTCCCCGTTCAGCGGGGACTCTACTTCTCCCTCTCCCACTCCCCCTGCTTGTGTTCCCTCTCTCGCTGTCTCTCTCTCTCAAATAAATAAAAAAGATTTATTTATTTATTTAAGAGAGAGAGTGAGAGAGAGAGAGAGTCGGGGGGCGGGGCAGAGGGAGAGGGAGAGAGAATCTCAAGCAGACTCCCTGCTGAGTGAGGAGCCCAACATGGGGCTCAACCTCAGAACCCCGAGATCATGACCTGAGCCAAAACCAAGAGTCGGACGTTTAATCGACTGTGCCCCCCCCCCCCGGTGCCCCCGTATCATTTTTTTTAAAGATTTTATTTATTCATTTATTTGAGAGAGTGAGAGAGAGAGAGCACATGAGAGGGGGGAGGGTCAGAGGGAGAAGCAGACTCCCTGCCGAGCAGGGAGACCGATGCGGGACTCGATCCCGGGACTCCAGGATCATGACCTGAGCCGAAGGCAGTCGCTTAACCAACTGAGCCACCCAGGCGCCCCTGTATCATTTTTTTAAAAATATTTTATTTATTTGACAGAGAGACAGCGAGAGAGGGAACACAAGCAGGGGGAGTGGGAGAGGGAGAAGCAGGCTTCCTGCTGAGCAGGGAACCCGATGCGGGGCTCGATCCCAGGACCCTGGAGTCATGACCTGAGCCGAAGGCAGATGCTTAATGACTGAGCCACCCAGCCGTCCCCCTCCCATATCATTTTTTAATGAATGCATAATAATCCAACGAATGGGTACAATACATTTAACAAATCTCTCCTTGGACATATAAGTATCTGTGCAGAGAAGATCCCTGCACACAGATTTAGTGCTGCTCTTGGATTATTTCCTTACCATAAATTCCAAGAAGCATTGCCAAGTCAAAGGGTCTTAACCTTTTACATTATTTCTGATATTTTGTGCCAGGTCACTCATCGGAAATGCTGACCTGTGGTAGCGTATGAGAGCACCTCTTCTCTCTAAATTCTTTCCTATACCAGGTGTCATCAATTTTGTCTTGATCTTTGCTGATTTGATAGGTTAACAAATCACATTTACTTGGCAATTCTTTGTATTGAGCTTCATGTGTATATGGGACTTTTGTATTTCTTCTTTTGAGAAACACACTTCAAGTCCTCTGTTTTTCATTTTTGTATGGTTGGGATTATCAAACAATCTCCATATCAATAATCCTTGCTTATTTAATGAGTGAAAGTGATACTTCATTGTAATCTCACATGTGCATTTCTGGGGCACTTGGGTGGCTCAGTCGGTTAAGCGTCTGACTCTTGATTTCGGCTCATGTCCTGATCTCAGGGTCGTGAGATCGAGCCCTGCATTGGGCCCCCACCCCGTGCTCAGTGAGGAGTCTGCTGGAGTTTCTCTCTCTGTCCCTCTGCCCCTCCCCCTGCAAGTTCTCACTCTCTCTCTCTCAAATAAATAAATAAATCTTTTTTAAAAATGCACATTTCTTTAGTTAACCTTTTCTCATGTCATTCTATTATATACTTTTTCTCCTTTGTGAATCCTAAATTCGTCCCGTTTTCTCATTTTCTCCAGATAGTTTTAAGCTGTGGACAAACCACCCAATCTTCGGGGTGGCCATGATAACTTTCTGCCTGGCGCTGGTGCTGGGCCTTATCTTCACCGTCTGGTTGCACCTGCCGTACCTACCTGGTCTTCAGAGACTGCCCTTCTTTAGCTGGGTTGGGACTATCATGAGCTTCTTTGAAGGTACCCCCTGGCTCTGGAAAGTGGTCCTTAGTTTCTCCCAAAACACATCTTCCTGGGTACTTTTCCCTCTTCCTTTCTTTGGGGGTGGGGTAGGGGTCTGGTGGGTGGTGGCTGAACAAAACTGGTGGTCCTTGAGAACTGAGCTCCGTCATTTCCTCATCCTGGGAGAGGTGGGGTTGGAGGGGTTGATCGTGGTTTGTGGCTGTATCCCAGAAGGTGAGGGAGAATCTCCGTGGGGTCCTCAGGTAAGAATAAGATCTCTCGCGTCCCTGTCTCCTAGTTATCCTTATTTTCTTCACCCTGATGTTGTTTCCTATTAACCTCTGGATCTTTGAGTTGAAGAAGAATTTATCAGTCCCCATCGGCTGGAGCTATTTCATAGGCTGGCTGGTGTTTGTCCTCTATGTCACCTGTGGTGAGTGGCCTGAGGGCCCCGGGCAGGAGGGGACATGGGTGGCTCGGGGCAGAGGAAGTGTGCAGGGAGGGAGGCAGGTAACCCCCAAGGACAAGTTCTTAGGGAATTATCTTCCCTTTGGCCTCACCTCGCTGGCCACTTTCTTCCGGTTCTCCAAATTTCCTCTCCCCCATCCCTTTGTGCTTTCCCAGCAGCCCTCTGTTACTTCAACCACCAACACTTCTGGATGGTGATTATGAACCGTCCCTGTGGCACTAAGTTCTGCAGCAACTGCTCCAGCCCTCTACAAAACTTGCTGAAGAAGCCGGTTGTCTCACATGCCTCTATCACCCAGAGGGAAGTCCCGGATCCTGAGCAAAAGAAGGCATCTTTGTAAACTTGTCGGAAATCCTGCCCATTCATCTGCATCCCTGTCCTCATCCTTTCTCACAACCTTGGGGGGGTGGTTGGCCTTCATCACTGCAAGGAGTTAGAGAGGGAGAATATTACTTTTCCTCCTTGTTCCTGCTTGCTTATTGTTGGGGCGATGTGGAATAAATGGTCTCTTGTTTATCATGTCTGGCTGTTGTTGAGACAAGACAACTTGAAGGAGGAGAAGGAGGGAGAAAGAACAACTTTGTTTCCCAATTGTTCCTCCTCAGGAGCCTTTTGGCACCCTTTGGTTCCCAGAAGTGCCCAATCTCTCCTGTAGCACACGGGAGTTTTGTTCACCCACCACCCACCAAACCCTTACCACACCCCCAAAGAAAGGAAGAGGGAAAAGTACCCAGGAAGATATGTTTTGGGAGAAACTAAGGACCATTTTCCAGAGCCAGGGGGTACCTTCAAAGAAGCACATGATAGTCCCAACCCAGCTAAAGAAGGGCAGTCTCTGAAGACCAGGTAGCTATGGCAGGTGCAACCAGACGGTAGTAGGTGTGCCCATGTGTGTTACGATCTCAACATTTGTTAGTAGGTAAAGGGAAGTGACCAGGGGAGAGAGATCACTTAGGAGCGAGTTGGTTTATTCAGAGTGAACAGTCCAAGATCACACAGGCCCAAGGTAAGAGGCGGGTTACCTGGGGTGGGGCTGTACTGTGGGCATTGGGCAGCAGTCCCACTCTCTGTGTCCAGAGCAGGTGACTGAGAACTCCTAGAGCCCTGTGCCTGGGTACCCCCAGCACCACCTCCACCTCCATCACACCTTCACCTCCATCACACCTCCACCACCATCTTCACCTCCGCCACCATCTTCACCTCCACCACCATCTTCACCTCCGCCACCATCTTCACCTCTGCCACCATCTTCACCTCCACCACCATCTTCACCTCCACCACCATCTTCACCTCCACCATCACCACCACCTCCACTACCACCACCTCAACTCCCTGGTTGCTATCGCTCTCCACCCAAGCCTCCCATGTTCTCCATCCTGTAACAGCAGGAAGAAAACATGACAAGGAGGAGAACCTCAGAGTCGGGCCCTAAGCTCAAGAGACAGATTGCACCTTTGGGTTATAACCTGAGTCTCATGAACACGTGCAGCGCCTGCCTTGGGCAGTGCCGGCAATGACTATCGGGATTCAGACATCCTGCACAGAAAGGCTGGCCGCCCAAGAGAGCAGCTGTGACTGATCTTTGTCATATCTCTGCAGATGGAGCCATCATGCCAGCCAGCTAGAAGAGGGAAGGGACAAATTATGAGCGGATTGGATATGTAAAAACTATATATATTATTAGGTTGAAACATACGATACTGCTGTTTTAGCAGTTAAATGCTGGTGATTTCATATGGTTCAATCTAATATATATAACTGATTTCTATTTGGTTTTGAGGCTCTTTTAAGATTCTTATCTTTATCATACCTGACCAGCAGAAGTGGGATTCCTAACTTAGTTCCAAGCAGACATTCTGAGCAAAGAATCGAATACATAGGCTTGAAATTTGGGCAGAACAGGCATTCCACAAATCCCTGCTCATGGTCCCCCTTGGACTCCTTCCCCCTGGTAGCAAGGATCTATTGAAGAACCTATTGAATTAATCATCCTTGGGGAAGGGACATCAAACAGAGGGATGTCATGACCTCTACTATATATATACATGTAATTGGAGAAAGGGATTTTGTAATTTGGAATAAGTCATAAACTCAAATGTCTACAGGGGCTAGGCAGGAGGGGAATTAAGTTTCACTTCTTGAGGGGAAGAATATCAAGAATCTGTGGATATATTTTATTTTTAAAAAATTTTTAAAGTTTTTTTTTTTTTTTTAAAGAGAGAAGGAGATAGAGAACATGAGAAGGAGGAGGGTCAGAGGGAGAAGCAGACTCCCCGCTGAGCAGGGAGCCTAATGCACTCGATCCTGGGAGTCCAGGATCATGACCTGAGCTGAAGGCAGTTGCTCAACCAACTGAGCCACCCAGGCGCCCTGTGGATTTATTTTAAAATCACCACATTTTACCTTCTGGTCACAAATTATTTACATTCTTCATACATACAATATACACCTCTCTCAAGGCCCTGAAAATCCTCATCCCAGTAGAGCATCAATCAGCTAAAAGTTCAAAATTCTACTGTGTTGTGAGGAACTAAGTCCTCGTGGGTCTTTAAGGGTTATTCCAATAAAGCTGTGGAAATTGCACTCAGAGAGGTATACAAAAGTGGAGGATTCATTATATCCACAAGTCCTAGAAGAGGGAGGCATGATATTCCACATGGAGGCCACATAGGAGGAGTGCCCAGAGAGCAAGATCAACCCTGCAGACGGGGAGCTGAGAGAGTGAGGACCCATGGCCAAGTGCCTTTACTGGGGTCAGGGTGGGGCACACAAGCAAACGTATGAGGAAATTTCGGGGCGCCTGGGTGGCTCAGTCGTTGAGCATCTGCCTTCGGCTCAGGTCATGATCCCAGGGTCCTAGGATTGAGCCCCGAGTGGGGCTCCCTCCTTGGCAGGAAGCCTGCTTCTCCCTTTCCCACCCCCCCTGCTTGTGTTCCCTCTCTCGCTGTGTCTCTCTCTGTCAAATGAATAAAGAAAAATCTTTAACCAACCAACCAACCAAACAAACAAACAAAACATATGAGGGAATTTCATTAGTGCATTTGAATTTTACAGGGGAGGGCAAGAAGGAGAACTTGTGGCAGGAACCAGCCTCATCACACTGGTGCACCTGCTCACCTGGTGAAGCGCTCACAGCCTTGTTGTGGGGATGTTGAGGCATCAGGCAAATATGAAGTTTTAAGAATTTATGATACACTTGCCATCTGTTATGAGCTGAATTTTATCTCCCCCCCAAATTGATATGTTGAGGACCTAACTCTTAGTACCCCAGAATGTAACTACTTGGAGATAGGGTCTTTAAGAGGTGATTACGTTAAGATGGGTGGTGGGTCTTTGTCTAACCTGAGTGGTGTCCTTATGAGAAAAGTTTAGGAACACAAAGAGACACCAGGTATGTGCATGCACACAGGAAAACCATGAGAGAAGATGCTCATCTGCAAGCGAGGTAAGAGAGGTTTCAAAAGAAACCAAACCTATTACACTTGATCTTGGACTTCTAGCCTCTAGAAATGTGAGAAAATAAATTTTTGTTGTTTAAACCGCCTAGTCTATGGTACTTTGTTATGGCAGCCTTAGCAAAGTAATACACCACCTAAATTAGGTCCAGGTGCAGATGAGGCTCTTTGGATGTAATGCATTAAATACAGTTGCTCTCAATCTGAATACCTGTGAACTACAGAGACACGTGACCATCCCCCACATATCCAGAAAACAATGGCAGGACAGTCAAGGGATAATCATTACAGACGCTACTGCTTAGAAAGGGTGACAATGATGTATAATGAACATTGAGCAATGTATAGAATTGTTGAATCATTATGTTGTACACTTTAAACTGATAGAACACTGTATGTTAATTGTAATTCAATAACGACAGCTGGGGTGGGGGAGGAATGAGAGGGACACAGGAGTCACTGGTCCATAGCAGTTTTGAAATCCAGCTGGGAAAATGTTGAAATCTCCTTGATTAAGACTCAATCCTATTTCTGTCCAGATGTAAGTCTCCATGGTTGTTCTTGTTGTTTGTTTGTTTGTTTTTGATATAACACACATGCCATAAAACTTATCATTTTAAAGTACATAATTCAGTGATTTTAGTATATTCACAATGTACAACCATCACCACTACCCAATTCCAGAACACTTCACTTGCTCTAATTATTCTCCATTCCTCATTCCCTTCAGTCCTTGAACACTACTAGTCTTCTTTCTGTTTCTATGCATTTGCTTGTTCTGGACATTTCATATAAATGGAATCATACAAATACAGCTTTTTGTGTCTGGCTTCTTTTCTTAGCATCATATTTTCAAGGTTCATTCATGTTGTAAAATGTATTGGTACTTCATTCCATTTTATGGCTGAATAATATCTCATTGTATGGATATGCCATATTTTAACAATCCATTTGTTAAGTGCATGGACATTTGGGTTGCTTCCACCTTTGGGCTATTATGAATAATGCTGTTATGGAGATTTCTTTTTTTTTTAAGATTTTCATTTATTTATTTGCCAGACAGAGAGAGAGAGAGCACAAGTGGGGGGAGCAAGCAGAGGGACAGGGAGAAGCAGGCTTCCTGCTGAGCAGGGAGCCCAATATGGGACTCGATCCCAGGACCCTGGGACCATGACCTGAGCCAAAGGCAGACACTTAATGACTGAGCCACCCAGGCACTCCTGTTATGAAGATTTCTGTCCAAGTTTTCATACATATGTTTTCAGCTCTCCAGGGTTTATAACTAGGAGTGGAATCCCTGGTCACATGGTAACTCTCTGTTGAACTTCTTGAGGAACTTCCAGAATGTTTCTCAAAGCAGCTGTACGACTTTACTTTCCCACCAGTAATGTGTGAGGGTTCCACTCTCTCCACAGCCTGGCCAACACTTATATTGTCCATCTTTTTGATTCTTGCCATCTTAGTAGATGTGAAGCGGCATCTCGTTGTGGTTTTGATTTGGATTTTCCTAACACATTTCCCCAAGATGCATCTCCTGTGCCTGTTGACCATTTGTATATTCTCCACAGCTCCACCTGCGAGGCCTTTGGTACTACCTTCTGAATCATCCTTCCTTTCCACAAAAGACAGCCTCTGTTTGCAGCTGTATGATTTTCTCAGCCTACATCTTGCTAGTAGAATTTTGGGGTCCAAAGGCCTCTCTTTTCTTTTTGTATTGTTTCTATCATTTGCAGACCATGCTGGTGGTGTCTCTGCCAACCTTATTCTGTGACACACTCTGTGGCCTCTTGAGACTCTTATTGAGATTCACTCCATTAGACAAACATGGCTTACAGGCAAAGATTAAGGTAAAAAAATGTGAGAGCTGCATAGCTGGTTAGTTCCAGCTCAGCATCCCTCATGAATTTGCAGTCAAATTGTTGGCAAGAGCTACACTTGTCTCCCTCCTAGGAGACTCACTCTATATGACTGTTTGCCGGAGGCCTCAATTTCTAGCCATGTGGACCAAAGGACTGCTTAAGGGTCCTCATGACATAGCAACTGGAACGTTCAAGAGCAAAAAAGAGAGATGCCAGAGAGCTGCTTCCTTGCTCCATCACTGCGCACCAAGGAAAGGCCTTGGGAGGGCAGGGCCAGATGGCAGCTGCCTGCTGGCCAGGAAGACAGCTGCCACCAGAAATCCAACTGGTGGGCGCCTTGACCTTGGACATCCAGCCT